AAGGGCGTTTACCCCCATCTACCCTTGTTTAGCCATGTTCTACCACGTTCACCCTCATCTACCCTAGGTAACCCATGTTCTACCCCGTTTACCCCCATCTACCCTTGCTTAGCCATGTTCTACCACGTTCACCCCCATCTACCCTAGGTAACCCATGTTCTATCCCGTTTACCCCCATCTACCCTAGTCTAGCTATGTTCTACCACGTTCACCCTCATCTACTCCAGGTAACCCATATTCTACCACGTTTACCCCCATCTACCCTTGTTTAGCCATGTTTTACCACGTTCACCCTCATCTACCCTAGGTAACCCATGTTCCACCCCGTTTACCCCCATCTACCTTTGTTTAGCCGTGTTCTACCACGTTTACTCTCATCTACCCCATGTACCCTCGTTTAGCCTGGTAACCCATTTTACCAGGCTAAACGAGTTAACCCATGTTACCAGGCTAACCTATGTTACCAGGCTAAAAGTTTACCCCTCGTTTAACATGGTAACCCATGTTCTACCACGTTTACCCCCGTGTACCCTTGTTTAGCCATGTTCTATCACGTTCACCCTCATCTACCCTAGGTAACCCATGTTCTACCGCGTTTACCTTCTCGCTCGAAGGTTTTTAGCCGAGTAGTATTCACCTGCCAAGAAACGAGCGCAAGATTGAAAATTCCGGTTACATTTTACAAGAATAGAGAAGTTTTTTGATTCGCTTTCAATTCAACAACTGTGGTTTATACTAAATGCAGTTACTCACTTCAGTTTCATGTTATTTCAGCACGGTAGCACTTATATATGGATATAAACCTTGCTGCTCACCAGTAATTAGTAGGGAACAACGTGCGCACTTTGTTATAATTTGTAATTAAAGTACATCATGAATTCTCGCTTTCAATTGCTTTTTACAAGCAGAAACACTGAAGTATGTCTTATCTACCAATGTAAACTTCAAACTGGGAAATTTCAGAAATTTTTATTAATATATACATGTACTTTCTGGTAGGGTATTATCTAGATGGATGAGAATTCCATTCGAAACACTAGACCCTCTGTACAGGTCTAAATCGTAAAGAGACAGGTATCAACTGAGTATCTGGAGTCCAAAAATGTCTTACATTCTTGTGAATTAAAAATACATACACACGTTTAAAAAACGTTGCAATTTGAAAATATATAGATTTATTACACGACTCCGGCAGTCAGAGGGCCATTAACTAAAATCAAGCAATCAAAATGCTCTATTACCGGTCAATATTCTCTCAGTATTGGACCGTGCACTGTCCCGAATGGTCCCGGATGATACCGCACTTGTGTCCCTTTGAACTTCTGTCGTATAATAAATCTCTTATTAACCAAGTTTTCTCGGGACCGTACTGGAAGAATATCGGCCCTCGATCTTCTTTGTACGGACCTCGCTGCGCTCGGTCCGTACTGTCAAGACCTCGGGCCGATATTCTCCCAGTACGGCCCTCACGCTTGGTTAACAAGGGTAGATGGGGGTAAACGGGGTAAAACATGGGTTACCTAGGGAAGATAAGGGTGAACGTGGTAGAACATGGCTAAACAAGGGTAGATGGGGGTAAACGGGGTAGAACAGGTTACCTAGGGTAGATGAGAGTGAACGTGGTAGAACATTGCTAAACAAGGGTAGATGGGGTAAACGTGGTAGAACATGGGTTACCTGGGGTAGATGAGGGTGAACGTGGTAGAACAGGGGTTACCTAGGGTAGATGAGGGTGAACCTTAGTATGTGTGAAGATTTGGTGTTAGAAGACTAGGGGGAGGACCCATTGAGAGAGATTTG